TAAGGGAAATGGAAAAAGAGGGTGAAAAACTAAAAACTCAATGAACTTATAAAAATTAGGGCCCTAATTATAAACATAGAAAATTGAGGGCCCTGAGCGGCTACACAAGGTGCTCCCCTTAGAGCCGACTCTGACATCACATCTGATCAATAGTGATGATTTTTTTATTAAGCTAAGGTGATTACAAAGTAGCATATGTTTTAAATACTTTCAACTATTTGACAATGAATGTTTAATCACCTTGTTGTAGTCGCTGATATTTGAATTCGTGACTCCTAAAAACAATAATGATATCTTTTGCAACGGTGATGAAAAAAATTTAAAGTCCCCTAATATGTTTAATGTGAGAGTTTATATATAAAGATTTTTAATATTAATGTCGTAGGGATATAATTGTTACTTAAGGGTTGTGGTAAGCACAACTGCACCCTTTTGGCTTAGGCTTAGGCAGGACACCACCAGTGTCAGATTTCGTGGTGCACCATCTTTCGGCACATTGGGTCATCTTAATTGGATTTGGACCCAAATATCACTTCCCCCCCCCCCCCCCAAAAGGCTAGTTTCAGTGCATTTAGTAAGAGTTTACCATAACAAACCACCAGCTTATTAATGGAAGTAACAAACGTTGGCATATTTAAGTGGGGATAATGCTAAGTTATAAGAAGATACATATATCTCATAATAGGAATCAATTGCAAATTTATTACAAAAACATCACCGACTTCTCTCGTTGTATTTGGACTAGAATTGCACAACCCGAATATTGATAATCCTTGTTGGACATCATCGAAAGATACCTAATTTGATCAACAAAACCCATGTCATACATCTCTATTAGATAATGCAAGCTTCATATTCTAATTAATTTAACTATACTAAATTATTTTATTTTTATATATCTTAAGTTTAATTCGAGTTAAACTAAATTAATATCTCCGGATACAATTAGAACAATTTGGTTAAACCTCTATTTTTTTTTATTTTACAATATCTTCAGTAAATTTGAATAATTAACATCATTAGTTATTTTAGTTGAATTTTGATATGTTTGTGATTTATAACACTAAATATTTACAATATGTAAAACGAATAAGTTTTACACTAGTTTATTGTCGTTAGATTTAAATAAATAAATGACTTAGATTTAATTAAATTTATAACTCATGAATAAATATCTTTTAACTCACAGTAAAACAATCTATCTTTTTACCCCAATCCCATATCTGATAACTCAAAACCCTAAAATCCCAAACACTAAAACCCTTACCTCAAAATCCAAACCTTAAACATAAGACCACAAATTATAAACCCTAAACCCCTTAAATCATAAACTCTAAACCCTTAAGCTTAAACCCTAAAAAGAAAAAATATTTTACTACGAGCTAAAGAAATAATTATTTATGGTTTATAAATTTTAATTAAATCTAAGTCATTTATTTATTTAAATCTAATCGCTATAGATCGATGGAAAACATAATAGTTTTACCTAGTGTAAGTGATATATATATATATAATGATATTATAAATTAAAAAGAATTAAATTACGCAAAATTAAAGTATAAACTTAATTCTCTAATTTCAACATACTAAACATATAAAAGGGATTTGGTAATTAAGTACCAAGTGGTGGAAAATGGTGACAAAGTTTGGGGAGTCAATTTAAAACTTTAAAAAATTCAGAGGTTTAAATATTTTTTCTAAATTTTTTTGAAGGGTTTAGTTTACATATTTTTCTAAAAAAAAAGAGTAGGGTCTAATTAAATTTTTTAAAATTTTGAGAGGATTAATAAGAATTTTAAAAATTATGGAAAGGAATTTAATCAAGAACATTAAAAAAATTTAAAGTTTAATCTAAATTTCTAAAAATTTTGAGGGACCAAATTAATTTTTTTGAAAAATTTAAGGGTCTATATTATAATTTTTTAAAATTTAAGAGGCCATGACCCCACTAGTCCCTCTTGCCTTCCGCCACTAAACTCATATGACATGTACATGCCTAATAACTTCTCCATTTGGATTAATATAAACAAAATTTTGAAGTGTTAAAATTAGATTAAAAGCTAGAAAAAAAATTTAAGCCTTATCTATGTATGATTCATCAACCACTAAACCTAACGCAACAATGTCAAGTTTTTTAAAAGGTGTTTTAATAAGATAATATTAAAGGGAAAAAGAGACATGTTATTATAAATTGGTCACACTCTGTATATTTCTTTATATTATTAATGTGTAGTTTAAAAGCTAGAAAAAGACGAGTATTGAAGTGCTATCTAGAAATGAATCAAATGATGCATCAACTATTAAACCTAATACATCAATGTCTAGGGATGGACATGTGACCCGAACCCAACCCGACCCGATCGGGTCGGGTTTTTTTTTTAAAAAAATTGGGTTCGGGTCTGATAGGGTCGGATTTTTTAGGTGTGATGTTCGGATTGGGTTTAGGGTAAAAAATACCCGACCCGACTCGAAAAAAATATAATTTTAACTTATATATTTAGGCATAACTACAATAATACCCCTCTATATATAATTTTTTCAATTAAGTCATTATTTTTATTGAATAAAAATAATATTTTTATTATTTCGGGTCGGATTTCTAAGTTATATATTGAGTCGGGTTTGAGTCGGGTGAAATCTTGTTTTCGGGTCGGGTCAGGTGGACCAAAAACCCGACCCATTCCCATGTCTATCAATGTTAAGTTTCTCAAGGGGTTCCTATACTAAGCTAAGCATAAAGAAAAAGACATTATTATATGTTATTATTTTTCTTCATACTATATTATTCTTATAGACAATAGTGAGAATTATGTATAAATTGATGGAAAGTATAGACTAGCAACTTTAAAATAGTGTCAACTTGAGATGACATGGATACAAGAGATAAGGATAGATATTAAAAAGAGTTTTGATTTAATTTGATTTGATCGAATCATTTTTAAAAGATAATTTGAGTTTAGATCGGATCAAGGTCGAGCTCTGAGTAAAAAGATCTCATTCGATATAATGTTATAATTATCTTTCATATATTTAAATTAATTACAATAATATTTTATATTATTTTTTAATCATGTCCTTATTTACCTTTATATATATGTGTGTGTAAGGATCCACTTACAAAATGCATTTTTTTTGAGTTTTAAACAAATTTAGGACAGTTGAATGAGTAAAAATAGAAGGTTGAGATTAACTCATTGTTTTTTGTAGTGCTTAATGCAAACATAAGTGCCCAAACTATACCCTAATTTAACTTTTAGTATCTAAAGAATTTTTGTTAAAAGTATAACGTTTTATCTGTTACACTTTTAAATAATCTAACGTTTTTTGTTACACATTTAGGTTCCTCCGTAATAATGTTCGTTAAAAAGAATAGTCAAGTGACATATTTCATATTTATTTTTTTGGCTTAATGAAAAAATAAGTGCCCAAACTATACCCTAAGTTAACTTTAGGTGTCTAAATAATTTTTCGCTAAAAATAGGTGTATAATGTTTCTAACGGTACACTTTTAAGTGTCTATGCTGTAACGATCGTTAAATTTAATTGTTATTTAACATGTGTCGTGTTTTATATATATATTTAAATTTTGATTTTTTAAAAAAATATAAATATTATTTAAAAAACATTTTTAAGAAAAAAAATTCTCCCTGCAGTCTAAGCAAAAATTTCTTCCTCGTCAATTTCATTTAAAATCTCTCTCCACCATCCTCCATAAATCACTAAAATAAACTCAGGATGAAAATAATAAATTTGAGATTAGGGTTAGGGATTTAAGTTTGAATTTATGGATTATAGGATTAGATGACAACAAGAAGGATGGTCGACAGTGAAGGTCTGACGACAACAACTGTAAAATAAGGTTGAAATGAGAGATTTTAGGGGGTTTTTTGTACTTTTAGGAAAAATTGATTTTTTAAAAATAATAATATTATTTCATTTTATTAAAATATAAAAATTTTAAAAACATAAACATGACACATATCACTTAATAGTTTTTAAACAATCATTACTGTGTGTGACCTAAAAGTGTAACATAAAAAATATTAGGTACATATTTTTAACGAAAAAATCTTTAGATACTTAATGTTAATTTAGGATATAGTTTGAACACTTATTTTTTCATTAAGCTAAAATACAAACATGACACGTGTCACTTAAAGATTTTTTAAATGGTCAATACAACGTAGGCACCTAAAAGTGTAATGTAGAAAACGTTACACTTAAAAATATAACGTCAAAAACTTTACACTCATATTTTTAACGAAAAAATATTTAGGCATCTAAAGTTAACTTATGATATATTTTGAGCACTTGTTTTTACGTTAACATTTTTCAATAAATATATGTTCATTTTCTACTATTAATTTCTATCGCCCATTTCCACTCATCTAATGATCCTAAACATGTATAAAACTAAAATGTTTTATACTGTGTAATGAATTATATATATATATATATATATATATATATATATATATATATATATATATATATATATATATATATATATATATATATATATATATGAGTAAATTTGGATTGGATGCAGATTTTCACCTAAAAGATCAGATCAAGTTTAAAATGAGGTGAAATCCTCATATACCAAAGTCAAATTGAATACATCATGTAAGGTGGATTAACTTTTAAATCGAATTTGAGTGGATCAAAAACTCAACTCGACCGAACATTATCATCCTTGCTTACTCCCAACCCCCTTAAATTAATCCACCTGAAAGTGGGGTGGTGAGGTGGGGCCTCAAGTTTCAATAATTTCATTCTTTGGCATTATGCTAACATCAGGGTACTACACATTCATATAATATAGAGCAATCTGCATAGTGAAAAGATAAAGAATCTACTTCAGCTGAAGTAATTGGCTCTTGGTGCCTAATCAAAAGATGTATTGCAGATGGTATATCATCATTATGCTTTCCTTTTGAGACACAAATCAGAGTGATAATCATTGGAATTTGGTCATTTACCACCGGAAAAAGACTATTGACAAAAACCCCAGATTATCACTTGCAAGAAAAGCCAATTCTACAATTACCATAAACCATGATTCACTGTGAGCTAATAGCCTAATTTGTAAACAAAGTGATGAACAACTTTCATCATGGTTTATAAGGAAAAAGCTACGACATATTGATCAGATAATGCTAAGGAAAAAATAATTTTCTAATACAAGATATTAGGGTGATTATTTTCTCATCTATGATGAATGTTATGATACTTCATGAAAGTTGCCCCGAAAACTTAACGACTTCTCACAAAGTTTAGAAGACATGATATCTTCTCCAAGCTTCATACATGCGTGTAAAATTGTGTCTTCGCAGAAGACGTTGTTTCTTCTAAGTATCAAAATCATGTCTTCTAGGTGTTCTCCATGAAAGATTGTACTACTATTCATAGTAGATGAAAAAATAATCATCCTAACACCTTATATAAGAAAATCATTTTTTTTCTAAAGCATTATCTGACGAAATTTATCCAAAAGCTGTTGATCTGGTTTTACTAGTCCCCAATATGTCATCGGATTCTAGGTGATTTGTCCCTTCCTCTAGCTTCATCTCCTGGTACCTACATTCTTTGCTGCAAAATGCTTTCTCCCCTCTGCAGAATGAGGAAATTTCTTCAGATTATGGCCAAAAAAACATTAGAACTATACATAACACAAAAGCAAACACACACCTGTACATGTAAATGTCTTTTCCTGGAGAAAGATTCTTGTTGCAAGCATGACAGAAGCTAAGGAAATTGTCTGATTGGAAACTTGTTCCATCAACACCCCAAATTCCATTGGGATAAGAGAAACCAACAACTCCACAACATGTCTCAACAATGGAATCATCAAAGATATGTGTGGTTCTAGGATTGGTTCCATGAGTTATTACACAAGTGTAATCTTCTGAGAATTCCATTTCAGAAGCTGAGAGACTATTACCTATGAAGACAGAAGAGAAGGAACTCAACTGGGATGTTCTTGCCTTGATGCTAAGATCAGTAGTTGTTGGAGATTCAGATGGAGAAAGAACATGAGGGAAAGATGGGATTTGGACCCTAAGTTGTGAACCAAAAAGGACAGTTTTTGACAAGTTGGGATCAGAACAATCATCTTTGAGAGAATCAACAATGGCAAGACCAATCCCTTTGGAACCAAGTTTGTGTTTGGCTTCAGGTTCTGGGGTTCTAGGTGTGCTTGATTCAGACCAAAAAGGGTTCTTGAAAGTTGAGAAGGGCTTGCTATCAAGTATGGATTTCGGACTCATAATTGACTCAGAGTTATCAGAAATTGCTTTTAAAGTAAAACCAGTGAGCAACTTGGGGAATGAAGTGGGCTTCTTCTGCAATTCACTGTCTGCCATTATTAAAATCTACACCTTCTACTTGCTGCTTCTTGAAGAACTGCAAAACAATTTAAGAATAAATTTACATGAAGAAGAAGAAGATTATAATAGAGGAAAGATGGGATCTTTACCCTGCTGTTGAAAGAACTCAACTTTCTCAAGGGAACTTTAAGCTAAAGAAAGGATTCCCAAAACCCAGAAAATAAAGGTCAAAAGGCACAATGAAACCACTCTTTGCTACAACTCTGTGGCCTCCATTTTTTAGCAACAAATTTTCAAAACCATGGGAAGGAAAAAAAAGGAAAGAAAAATAACCCTTAAACCAAAAAAACCCTCAAAAATGGGAAAATGAGTCTTCTTTCTTAGTGGGATACGTTCTTTAATTATGGAACCCCACTAGTTCAGGATCTCCATCATCAGTGCTGAAACAATAACATGCAAATGTAGAGGGAAAAAAGGACAGAAAGTGAGAGTGAGTAAGGAGGAACAAAAGAAGTAAAAAGCTCTTCTTTCTTTCTTTTTTTTAAAATTTGAAGAGTGTTGGATCAAATTCCGATTTAGAAAAAATGAATTTTAAATCAGAATGTTTTATGCAAATCTACATCATCTGCCTGCTTTCTTCTGCAATCTGCCGATGGTATTTGTGTCCAACCAGTGAATGGAGATTTGATTGGTGTTTTTTATCATGTCCTTGGCTGGAGGGTTTGCCTCATTATATGGAAAATGCCCACAAAGACTTTCATGGCTGACTGATGTGATTGCTCAACCATGCCATTCAAGCTTAACCATGGTCTCCTCCTCAACCTGGAGGGCTTCCATTGATGTCATCAATTACTTTTTAGGGTAAAGTACACAAATGGTTCCTCAATTATAGAGTATTACTTTATTGAATCATCTGATTATGAAAAGTTATAAAACAGTCCCTATATAGGGGAATGCTTTGTCGAGTCCCCAACTGTTAAAAGTTTTAGAATGATCACATGACTATTTATATATTCTTAATTTATCCTTATTTGTTAAAAGTTGGACATTAATCTGCTGATTGGAGTTTGTTAAAATCATATTAGAATGGTGTTTATTGTAACCACTGTTGCTTTCAACCACTAACTCAACATCATAATGTTTCAAGTATTGACTCAACGACATAGCGTAAGTGAAGGCTCGATCCATGAAATACAACTCAAACGATTTTGGGATTAGATTTTTATCATATCACAATTAGCAGGTTAATGTCCAACACAGAATACCGTTAATTTTTAACAGAAAATGTCTCTTCTAGAATATAGGAATAATATGATGATCATTTTGTAACTTTTAATAGTCAAGTAACTCAAAAAAATAGTGACCTATAGTTGAGAGACCATTTGTGTATTTTATCCTAGTTTTTAAATGGCTAAACTACACCTAAGGTCACTTAATTATGAATTTGATCATAAATATGTCCCCCTTTTCTAGGGATGGCAAACGGGTACAGTTTCGTGGATTCTGCACCGCATCCGCTTCAATTGGAGCGGGGATGGGTATAATTTTAACGGATAGTGGGCGGGTGTGGATTTATAAAGTGGTACCCGTCGTGGGTGGTGGGCGGGTAATGGGTTTGAGACATTACCCGCCCCGCATCCGCCCGCCCCGCATCCGTCCGCCCAGCTAAATATCTATTAAATTTTGGGTCATTATGAATTTAGGTGTAATTTTAGAGACTAATTTATAAATTTTAATATTGTATAATATATAACATATAATTTAACCAAATATTAAGGATATTTAGTCTTTAATCTGGTCTTTAATTAGGGAAATATTAGGCTCTTTGATTAAACCCATAATCTCACTAACCACGTCACTTTCCATGTTCTTTAGCCCATATTGCCCATCCAAACACAAATTAGTCGTACTATATGCATTAATATCAAAAGCAACAGTTTTCATGTTCTTTAGCCCCTCAAAACCCATATTTGACGCACTATGAGCATTAACATCGAAAGCAACTCAACAATCTAGCTCTGCGACTACATGCTCCCTACAATCTGTCTCCATAACATTCGTAGAGCCACTCCTCTGAAAAATTGAAGCATGCGTTGCTACCCCATCACGAACTGTCTGGGAACCAACTCCAACATCCCATTAGTTTGCTGTCAGGCGGGTCTAGATGGATATGTCGCTAGTGGGTAGTGAGTGTGGGGATAGATTTGAAAATGTACCCACGTGGGCGGGTGTGGATTTGAAAATTTGTACCCATCATGGGGGGTGAACAGGTGGTGGATTGAAAAATATTAGGTGGGTATGGGGATGGGGGAGGGGGTATCCGCACCCGACCCGCCCGTTTGCCATCCCTACCCTTTTCCCCCCTAAAATTTATAAATATTTAATCTAATTAAAACAATATTATGTATTATCCTAAATTACTTATTCTTCTCCCGAAAATATTATATTATTTTTATATTACTTTTATGGTATAATAATAGTTTATTAGTAATTTGTTGTTGTTAATGGTATAATACAATTGTTCAACTAGCTTAGTTTTGATTATATTGTATAAAAGACAGAATTGATTGGATTTTTAAATAAGAATGGTTAAATTTATAGAATAGTTTTAAATTAAGACAAAATTAATAGAACATATAAGTTTTAAGGATTAAAAAATATTATTATACTATATCAAATTAGACGCTTATTTTAATTTTAACAACAGTGAATTGTTTGTAATAAGATTTTAATTGAATTGGAAGGATAAAATGACATGTTTACTACTAAACTAATAATTAAGTGACATTGAATGTAGTTAATCCTTTCAAATTTACTAAGCTTTTTTCAACCTACTCCCTCCTTTTTATTAGGCTTATATCTAAAGTATATCACTTTTTTCATTTTAGTACCTAAAGTATTTTTTGATCAAAATAAGTATCTAAATTTATCTTTTTGGTCAAAATAAGTATCTAAATTTATCTTTTTGGTTAAAATAGGTCAGTATTGGTCAACATAAGTACCTAAAGTATTCTTTAATTAATGTCACATGTCAATTTTTTTGGAACTTAGATGAGAAAATTGAATACTTTAGGTACTTATGTTGACCAAAAATATTTTATGTACCTATTTTGACCAAAAAGATAAGTTTAGGTACTTATTTTGACAAAAATCTACTGTAGGTACTTAGATGAAAAAAGAGCATACTTTAGGTACTTATTTATAATACAATCCTTTTTAATATATTAAATGTATATTAATATTTAAACTTGGATTTTTGGTTATTTCAATGATCCAACCCTCTATGTAACGCCCCGAATCCCGGGTTAGAAGTATTGGGCTAACCCGAGATGGGCCTTGGTTTAATTCCTCAGCTTGTACGAAGCCTTGACCCAAATTGAAGAGGATTTGGGCTTGAGTTGAGCCCAATAGTGAAATAAAAAAGGGTGTTTTTAATCTGTAGTCAGAATTGAAGGGACATAATAAACAATTTTACCTTTGATCAAAATTAAGGTTGAAATCCTTAATTGCTCTGTGATATCACGTCTGATACACCCTCTTTTTCTCAACTCTCCTTTGTTTCTTCTTCCTCTTCTTCCTCCTCATCTTCATAGCTCTTTATTCCTCTCCAAAAACCAAGTAAAGGTAGAAACTTGGTAGTCTTGCAACCCTAGTTCAGCAACCTAAAGGTAAGAATCATGATTCTTATATCCCAAGCTTTGTATCAAGCTCTCAAGACACCCATTTCACCATAGTTGCAAGAACATATTTAGAAGGGTTTTAGGAACTAGATGGTTCCAACCCATTTTTCAGATATTTCTAGCCTTAGGAAGCATTTTAAAACCCTCCTTAGGAAGCGTTTTAAAACCCTCCTTAATCCCTAGCAACAGTTAGTAACCATTGCATTTGGTTTTGTTTAGTGCAAGAGGTTAGAGAAGGCTTCAAAGCTAAAGGAAGGAAAATCTTACTTTGGGCTGAGCCTTTGATGTTTCTAGTAGTATACCATCAAAGGTAACTCAGCTATGCCATTTGTAAGTCATTTAGATGAAATGTAGTATGTTGCATAAGCTTGAAGCATTCCCATGGTAGATTTCATGTTTTAGAGTTATAAACATGTCTAAGGCCCTATTTATGCTCATTTGTATCTTCATAAAACATTAATAATGTTTGGAGACCTCACTAAGGTCTTTGGGATAATAGAATAGGAGTTTTTGCACCTATTTTATGCTATATGTATGTTGAGTTTCGATATTAGAGGGATAATATCAAAATGTGTTATTCTTTTAGGCAAACTCGTGAGTTTCTGGGCAAGAGTATTGATACTATTTCAAGAGTATCGATACTTTGGGTCATAGTTTCGAAACTCCCAATTTTTTTTGAAACTAGGCAGAACAAAATGTTTAAAAGTATCGGTACTTATATAAAGTATCGAAACTTTTGCAGGAGTATCGATACTGTTGGGCTAGTATCGATACTTTCAGTCTTTTTGGACAAAAAGGCCAGTTTTAAGGGAATTAGACTCGAGGTACCCCAACACTTCAGTACATCTTCAAATAAGACTTCAAGCAAGAACAATAATTAATATCATAATAGTAGAAATAAAAATAACTAGGTTTACATAAAACTAGCCTTGGTTGACACTCAAGAAACAATCAGAACACCCAAGTTCCTTTTAGCAGAAATACGACAATCAGTGGTTCTAAGTCAGTGTCAAGACACTACAGTAGCCGGCTGGGCGCAGATACCCCAAAACTCAACGGAGTAAGTCAGTGGGTGTACGTTCCGATGCAGAATTTTGGATCTCACCCAGGAGTACCCGATGGTGCTTCGACAGTGCTAGAGGGGTACGTGAGCTTCGAGAAGTAGAATCCCTCAGTCACACCATGATGCTAGTCACAGATTAGTAGTTGTACACTCAGACCTATGCCACTTGCCACTTCATCTAGTGAATGCATATAATATAGTAAATTTTTTAGTGAAACACTGAGCTCATCAGATATTCCAGTGCAGCAGATTCAGATTTCCAGAGACCTTTCAGAGTATAGCTTGTGTCATATTTAGAGGTCATGTACTGTTATGGACATTG